CGTACCTTGCTTTCCTTTTATCTGCAGAGCAAGAGAACCATAGGATGTGCCTGCTCTCAGTATGGGGCTTCATCCAGGCCCCAGGCCAGATCTGGCCACACAGCAAGCAGCTGGCATCAAGCACAAGCTGTTTCTGTGGCTACGGAGTGAATGTGGGTGATTGCTGCATTTTGAGTGCCCACCTGTACCAGGCAGCCTGGGAGGCACTGGGTGCATTTGCTGAAACCCTCACTGCAGCTCCATATGGTGGAGGTGAGGTGGCCTGTGAGGAAGAGTTGACCAGGTACTCGCTAAATGCTTGTCCTTGGCTGCATGTTGGGGAGCAGCCAGGCCTGGTTAGGCCAGGTTTGTGTGCCCGATTCCAGAGCCCAGGTCCTTCCCACCTCCTGCTCTGGAACCTGGCGGAGATGGGGGTGTGTGGAGCTTGCTTGAGTGACACTGGAAGGGCTCAGGCTGTATCCAGTACAGCCTGGAGGGTCACTGACTAACTCCCTGAGGACTGGCTCTGTATTACTGTACCCCCACTCCAGGGCTGTGTGGCTGTCTACACTTGGATGTTGGCTTAAATGCCACCTCCTCTGATGGCTGCCCTGGGCTCAGCCTCCCTCTCCCTCCTGTGCCTCGGGCACTATCTTGCTTTCTGGAGTGGAGAGCAGCACAGCAATGTGGCTGAGCCTGTGCCCACTGAGCAGCTGGACAACAGTGGTTCTGGGTGCTGCACTTGACCATCACCCACTTTCTCGACCATCAAGCCCAGCACGGCCTTCTTCTTCCGGCTGTGAGCAGTACCCGTGAATTGGGGCGGAAGGAGCTCTGGAAGGGTGGAGTGTAGCTTGGAGGTGCATGACAGCTCTCTGAAGTCAGAAGACAGCTCCGGTCAGGTGAATGCCAAGGGATCGTGAGTGAGGCCAGCCATGTGCCCAAAAGACATACTTTGTCCTTTTAAGACAATGGGCTAGATATTTATATTTTAGATTTTAGGATCTAAAACTGACCACTGATTACACTGTCTGGAAATTGAGTCCCCAGCCCTGTTTTCCAGCGTCACCCCACATCTCCGCACCCCAACTCACTTCATGCTTTTCCCAGTCTGTCTGCAAGTGTTCACTGACTGCTCATGGTGGGATGTCCCATTGGGAAAGCCATGGTGAGGAAAAGCAGACCCATCGCCTACTTCTGGGTGGTGAAGGTGGGGAAGACAGACAGGAAGTCAGCTATCAAAGTCATAAAGCTAAAATTTCAACCATGGGAACATAAAGGCCACAGGGCTAGGGCTGGGGAGAGGGTGTCTAAATCAGGAATGTCGATGAAATGAGCTAAAGTCTGAAGGCAGAGTGAGGCCATAGGAACAGCATGTGCAAAGATCCTGTGGCAGAGGAGCTGGTACTTAGGAAGAGTGGAAGGAAACCACCCCCCCCCATCCCACTGCCTCCTCTGCTACTCTGCCTGGGAACACCTTCCTCTCTGCATGATTCCATCTCTGCTTATTAGATGCCTATCCAGCCTTCAAAGCCACACTCAAATCCCTGCCCTTCCAAGATGCCTCCAGGTCGTGCCCTCCTCTTTTTCCCTAGAGGATATGACTCTCCTGTGGGTGACCCTCCTCATCAGCCAAGCACCACTCAGGCCTCTTTCATGCCACCCTCTGTGTAGACTGTGTGTGCATCATCTCTCCATCCAGGGCATAAACCCTTAAGGGCAGGTACTGCATCTTCTCTGGTGTAGACCTGGAGTCACATGGCTCTGGTTTAAATCCTAGCTGAGGTCACTTAGCAGTGGACTTTGTAGAGATGGCCTCATCTCTCTTCAGCTGGCAAAGGGGGCAAGTAGTGTGGGCCCCACAGCCCCCAGCCAGGCTCAGAGCCACTGAAGAAGGATGGCGCTTTGCAAGGAGCTTTGTCAGAGATGGGGAAACTGGATTATGAAAGAGGAAGCCTGGAGCTTTTCTCTCTTAGACTTTTTTTTTTGGTACTGGGGATCGAACCTGGAACCTTGTGCTTGCAAGGCAGGCGCTGGAACCACTGAGCTAAATCCCTAGCCCTCTTGTAGACTTTTGTTTCCCACCTTTGTCTGATGTTAAGGAACACCTGAGCTGCTTGTTAAAAACAGATCCTCAGGGCCTACGCCTGGGGTTCTGATCAGCAGGGCCAACGTGGGGACCAGGAACCTGTGTTCTGAAAAGTCTCCTTCAGCTCTGATGCAGTTTGGTAGGGAAACTGAGGTCCAGAGGGAGGAGGTGATTTTCATGCATTTGGTGGATGCAATCAGTGCCTCAGTTCTTCCTCCCGCGACAGGACCCTCAGTGTCCCTCCCTGCTAACGCTGGCCCTGGCCATGGACTTGCTTTGGCCCATGAGATATAGTGGCTGCTGGTGTGATATGGCTCCCACCATGCTCCACACTCCACCTTGAGAGCCTGGGCCCACTGCTGATCCATCAGGGAGGAGGGGACACAAGGGACAGACTGAACACAACCCACACCTTAGGTTGCTCCAGCACAGAGCACTAGCCAGAAAGAGCCAAACCCTAGCTGAGCCACAGCCTAGTGAGTGAGAACAGAAGTGTCTATTGTAAACTACTGAGTTTGGGGGTGGTTTTTTATGCATCACTATTATAGCCACAATGGCTAATACACTAAGGCAGTGATGGCAAACCTTTTAGAACTTTCAGTGATAACAAACAGCTGGGTGTGGCATGCATGCCACAGGCTTGCCACTACTAAGGCCACACAGCAAGTAGACTGCAAAGCTGGGACCCAAAGTGGGCCCCTTGCCCCTACTCCAGGGCTTGTTCCTCTCTGCTTCTCTGTCTTTAACCCAGAAGGCTCTGCTGCACTCCTCCTCCCTGGAGCCCCCTTACTCCCCTCCTCTGCCTCAGCTCTGCTCTTTGGGGTGGGTGCCCAGGTAGGGTCTATCCCAGCAGCCCCCGACCCTGCAGTTGATAGACTGAGGCATCTTAGCAGCCAGCTCACCCTCAAGGCTCCCAAGGATGCAGGGAAGAGCCCCAGAGTCTCCTTTCTGGTTCTTCCCAGGTGCAAAATGCTGATTCCTCTCTACCTACTGGGAGCCAGCCCCTCCCCAGCTCAGAGCTTTGAAAGCTGGAAAGATGTACAGCCAGGGCTCTGTAACATGCTTGAGGTCTTGGCTAATAGCTGTGACTTTTGGATCCTGAGTCAGCCCCCTCAGGACCCCAATCTCATGGGACCTCAGTGCACCCATGGCTCTGAAAGAACGGCAGAAACATGTTTATGAGCAGCCTCTCAGCCACACACAGCACTTGCATCGTCCCACGCAAGCCAGGCTCCTCAGCAGACACAGGCAGGCAGGCCACACTCAGCTATACAAAGTCATGGTCAGCTACCCCCAAATCCACATACACAGACCCCCTGGGTTCCTGGGCACACCTGCACTTTGCCCAAGCAATGGAGGAAATTAGATGTTGATTCCTGCTATGTACTCTTTCTGGCTTTGTGACTCAACTTTTTTGAGTGTCACCTGTGAAACCGGGACTTGGGGACCTTGAGGTGCTGTGAGGTCAATGAGAAAGTACCTGCTGCCATGCCCTGCACGTGGTCTTCCCCTTCCTAGGACTCTGTTCTTTCTACTTCCTTCACCATTCTATGACGCTTGCAACTGCAGATCACACCCTGCCTCCTCCAGGGAGACTTCCTGGCCTGCCCCAACCTCTACCTCCAGTCCTGGTTCTGACCATGGACCCACTTTGCATGAGAAGGACAAGCTGGGAAGCTGCCCACTTGCTCCTCTCCCTGCAACCTGGATTCCCTTGCTCTTCCTTGGACCATGCTCTCCAGGGGGTCAGCAAAGGTTGTTGAGTGAATAAGGGAGGGGCACACTCACAGTGCCAACCACAAGACCTACCCACAGGTGCCACAATGTCTCTGGTAGCCTCATGTGGCCCTCAGGTGGCGAGCGGGGCTGGACTTGGCTATGGGATGGTCTTGGGTGCACAGGAGGGCAGTGGTTGTGGTGGAGGGGTGGGGCCAGAGCCCACTTGATGTGGACAGAGAGAGGCTGGGGCAAGGTCATGTTGCTTGGCCACACTGAAGGAAGGCAGGTGGACAGTGAGGGGTGTCACGGGACCACAGATAGGACTGTGAATGGTGAGTGCCAGGAGAAAGGATGTTTTTAGGATATAGCTGCTCCTGCCAGGTGTCCACTGGGGTTAGACGGGGTGGAGGGGGGACCGAGGGGCAAAGGAAGCACGTGTAGAAACTGCTGGATGTTCCCCAAAATTTGCTACCCTTTTCCACTGTGACAGAGGTTTAAGTCAGGCCAAGGAGAGATGACATCTTGGCGAGGCTATGCGGACAAGGTCTGTCCCTCAGGGTGCACACAGAAATGATGGGTGCTGTTCCTGCCCACCTTGCTGCCTGCAGCAAGATCAGCTTTACCACACAGGCCAGGATCAGGGAGAAGCCTGGGTCCCAGGTCCTTTTAGGGGTCAGAGTCCCCTGCCCTCCTGGACTGCACCTTGGGACTCTTCCAAGACAGAAATACAGTTCTGCAACTTTTTTTGTGTGTAGTGGTTCTGGGGATCGAACCCAGGGCCTTTCACTGAGTTACACTTCTACCCCTTTATTTTTTATTTTGAGACAGGGTCTCACTAAGTCACCAGGTTGCCCAGGCTGGGCTTAAACTTGCAGTTCTCTTGCCTCAGCCTCCCAGAGTGCTGGGATTACAGGCAAGTGCCACCATGTGTGACCACAGTTCTGTATTTCCTAAGCTATCAACTGCTGGGTCTTTTTGCTACAGTAGCTTAACCATTACCTTCAGTATGACACCCTCCCAGAAGGCAGTCAGGGTCATAAACACAACTCCAACAGAGAGGGCAAACACTTGCTTTCCCAACAAGGGGGTCACACGAAAAGCATGTAGATAAATGAGGCTGCTGCACCCACTGCAGGGGTGTCTCTTGAGGCTGGCGGGGACCACCTGTTACAGCCCCCTGTCCCCCTGCCCCGACCTCACCTGCCCTGCTCACCTGCTTGGTTGGTGGTGATGTTAACCGAGGCAAACTGTGGCGAGAAGGGGCTCTGGTCGGTGACTCCATTCACCGCCTGGATCTCAAAGGTGTACTGGGTGTGGGCCAGCAGGTCGCTGATGTAGATGCGTGGCTCAGTCAGGCCCAGCTGGCGGGGTGCATACTGCACGTTGTCGCCGCAGCGGGTGCAGGCGCCCCGGCCCGAGCCGCAGCTCTTACAGATGATGTTGTAGACCAGGTCCTCTCGGCCTCCAGAGTCTCGGGGAGGGGTCCACTCCAGCACCAGGGAGGTCTCGTTGACGCTGGAGATCACGGCCTGGGGGGCAGAGGGGATGGCTGGCGGGGGAGAGGGGGAGAGGGGAAGGCCGGGTTAGCACCCAGGAGAGCACTCTGTGCCCACCACCTGGCTCCAGCCCAGGCCCCCAGAGTACTCCTCCAAATCCTGTCCTGCCCACCCACCCATGAGATGCCTTGAGAATGTGCATCTGCTTCAGTCTTTCCTTCCAGGCTCCAGCCTCAATGCTTGTTACTGGGCAATCTTTATGTTTGGGAGATAACTGTACAATAGCTATTTCCTTCCTTTCCTTTTAACAAAAGCCAACATTATTCAGGATAGCAATATGTCCAGCTGAAAGACTACATTTCCCAGCCTTCTGTGACTAAATGCCAGCCACTGGATAAAAGGCAGAAGTGGTTGAATAGGGCTGTGCCTTAAAAAGGGAGACAGATAACTAGCACATCCCTTTGTCCTTTTCTCTTCTCTAATGCCTTCAATGTGTGTGATGGCTGGGGCTTTAGCAGCCATGAGGGACTGGGAAGTAACCATAAAGATAGAAACCACATGCTCTGGGTGGCAGAAAGAGCCATGTCCTACAGGTCATCGTGACTTTACCACACTATCCCAGGACTGTGCTTCTTTTATGTAAGAGAACAAACCATGGGGTTTAAGCCACGGAGGTCAGCTCTGTGTGATTTATAGCTGAATGCCATTCCTGACTGAGGCAGGGGTGGTAATTCTGCCCTCTAAGCCACCCCTTTTCCAGAGACTCTCAGCCTGGGATTCAGGTGGCTGCTGCCAGGTTGGACACTGGGCAGCCTTTTGTGCCACAGACAGCACCTGTGCTGGCTCTTCTCCTGCCAAACCTCCCATTCCCGTTTCTTTGGGAGTCAATACCGTGACTTTATCCTCCCTCCACGTGATGGAGAGGAAGGGGGAGAGAGCCAGATGCGAGCTCTGTGGTGTGGGTATATTGGCAGCATCAACCCCAGATTCCTTTTCCTTCCCCTCCTGCCAGGCACTGGCCACTCCCCCCCCGCCCCGGCCCCAACCTCTCCTGCAGGTGGCCTCAGGCCCCAGGACGTACTTGTGCAGGGCATGTCCAGGGGATCCAGGTCCGCTCTGTAGTAGCCGTTGCGGCAGACGCAGTTGGTGGCTCCCTCGGAGGTGGTGCGGCTGTTGATAGGGCAGTGCGTGCAGGCCTCATCCCCCTGGTTGGCTTTGAAGGTTCCAGAAGGGCAGCCTGGGAGAGAGGACAGGGAGGGTCACCAGGGAGCTGGATGGAGACGGGGAGAGGCCTTGGCACAGGGAGGGACCACGCAGCCTCAGCGACCAGGCAACTCCACCTCCTGAGGTTCTGGGGTCTCCAGGCTGTGGAGGGCAGAGCTGGTTCTGCCCAGAAGGCTCCTGGCTACCTGAGTTCTTGCCCCAGTGGCATCTGTGGGGCCTTCACAGTCTCCCCCCGCAACCCCTGACCGTGCAGCTGCCTCATCGGAGGCAGCTGGAGAGGCCTGAGGCAGGGTCCTGGCCCCAGGCTTGCTCCCTAGTTTGTAACTAGCTTGTAACTAGACTCCTGGCTTTTAGCCAGGAGATGATTTCACTATGGAAGAAAGTCCCAGGACCTCAGAGGGCACACAGAGAGGTGACATGCTGGGGTGACTCTCTGGAGTCACCCAGGGACAGGTTTGAGTCCCCACTGTGTGGCTCTAGATAGTGGCTTCACCACTCTGACTCTAAGGCTCATTACTGCAGGTGAGCATTTTGCACAAACATATAAGGCACAAGGCACAAACCCTTGCACAGTATAGGTGCCCAGGGAATAGTGGCTGTGACAGACAGTTAAGCCAATATTTAAATTAAAGGGTCGGGCCGGGGATTTAGCTCAGTGGTTCCACTGCCTGCCTCGAAAGTGCAAAGACTTGAGTTCAATCCCCAGTACCAAAAAACAAACAAACAAACAAACAAACAAACAAATAAATAAATAAAATAAATTAAAGGCGTCTGTAGTACTGGGACAACCTGAGGGGGGCAGTATTTGTACTCGGCCACATTTGGCATTCTGTGTTCTCCTGGAGGCTATGGCCTTCATCCCCAGTCTGGGTCTGGTCCTGCAGCTCAGGACTTAGGATTAGGTTCTACTAGAAGCAACTATCCTTAATGTGCACATGTGCACATTCAAATCCTCCCTCCCCTCTCTGCTGGCTCCGACTGGGAATCAGGAGGTTGAGGGCTAGGCCCTACCTCTCTCCCAGCCTACTGGAGGCCAGGCTCCTGGCTCTGCTATGATGCCTCAACAGTGCCAATGTGTGGGCAGGAAAGGACTTTGGAGGACAAAATGCTCCATGAGATGAAGAGCTGTTAACCCATCCACAGGCCGGGCCCTCAACTAGGGTCATCCCATGTTGGGTGCTGGATGACCTTTCACAAATGACCCTGGGTCTCTGAGCATCACATTCCTGGTATGTGAATAGCAGCATAAACTTCCCTCATTCGTTTTTCTAGCCCTTGTCTTCAGCGCTTACCTTTAAGTCTTAGCAAACCACCCTTTCCCATCCACTCCGGCAGCTCCAGCTCAGAGACCCTGTCTTTCTTGGTGCCCGGAACAGCGCTTGAGATCAGAGTGCTTTGCTCTCCTGCCACAATTACTTGTCTAGGGATCTTCTGACCACTCTCAAAGCTCCCCCAGGGTGGGCACTATGCCTGATTCACAGCTGCTAGAACCTCACATTCAGCAGGCACCCTGCAAACCCTTCTTGAAGCTGACTGCTTAACTGGGAAGAGCATGGGCTTTGGAGGACAAGCAGGTAGGTAGGAAGGCAGTGAGCACAGTGGTTAGGTGAATCCCAGATCCCCCTGTACCAGCAGAGTGATTGTGGGCAAGTCTTTCCTCATCTGGAAATGGGCCATTGGTATCTACCTCTTAGAGGTGAGAGTATTCCATTGGTTAACTTCTGTAAAAATGCTGAGAACAAGTCCTGATAGTATTAAGCACTTATCTGGCTCAAAGGCAACCTGCTGAGTGACCTTTGATGAGTGGTGTGACCTCTCTGAGCAGCAGTGTCCTCACTGGTGAGACAGCATCTACCACTCGAGGTGGCTTCGAGGATTATAAGGAACACAGTGCCCAGCTCAGGGCAGAGGGGGAGCTGCAGCTCTGACCCTCAGTGGATGAAGCAGGTACTCAGTAAGGAGCCAAGGGCAACTCCATCTGGGGCCTTAGAAGGTGGCACCCCTCCCAGGCCCTACATCTGCTGCCTCTTGGAGGGAGCTTCCAGGAGGTGGGCCAGCGAAGATGGCAGCTAAGTCATCAACAGCTACCTTGGCTGATGCCACTCTGATCTCAGCTCTTGACAAGGGAGGCAGAAGACAGGACTTTGAAATAGCCAAGCAGGTCCTAGTGACAATGCAAGATGCCTTCAAGGAGTTATTTGGCCTCCACGGTAAAGATCCCTGGGCTCCAGAGAGTAAATGTGCACATGGCCAGCATTTGCTGGTTGCTCCTGAAGCTCTGTCCTGTCCTGAAGATTTTGCTTGTATTGACTCCTGGAATCCCTGGCACCCTATGCTGGAAGTCACCTGTCACTCCTGTGTTTAGGTGTGGGAATGAAAGCATAAAGAGGTAGAGTCACTTTCCCAGGACTTGGGCTCATGATGATGGGGCTGAAGTTGACCCCAGGAGGTCTGTTCATTTCTATGCCCACCCCACCATGCTACAGGGCCTCTAAGTGTCTCCTTTGCCTCAAACGTGGGTAACGCTCAGTAGATCCTCCTCCAGGCACCAGTCCAGGCTCTCTCCACCTTGCAGAGCTGATTCTGGGGCCCTGAGTCCTCCCTCATACCTTCTTGTTGAGACTCTTCCCGCACACACTTCCTGCTGCTGGTTGAAGGGGCAGCTGCCATTTGGCACTGTCCAGGGTTCCTGGGGCCATCAACTATTGCAGGCCACAGCCCCAGCTCTGATCAACAGTCAGCTTCTCTGAGCTTGCTTCCTCCTCCCTGGAGGGGAACACAGGGTGCCTAGGAAGGTCTAGAACCATCCCAATTGATGCCAGAGGGCCCTGGCCCCAAGATCAGGATGCTCCTGGCTCCTTCTCTGGAGGGCACCAGCTCAGCTCAGCGTCTGCTCCATCTCCTGGCCCATCCCTGTGCCTGCCCTTGGCGCCATGCCAGCTCCTCCATCTGGACCCTCTTCCCGACTGCCTTCCCCCTCTGCATGTCCTGGCCCCCTTTTGGGCTCCCCAGGCCACCCCTGCCTAGGTGGTCCCTCATTGGCTCACTGCCTGGCCACCCTGGTATATCCTATCCTTCCTGAATCTACAGCACTGAGTCTCTAAAACTGCTGCTGGGAGGTGGCCTCTCTCTCCACTTTATCACCAGGAATCCTGCTCCCCCCCACACACCTCCTCTCTCCTCCCACCCCCTGCAGACAATCAATTACCAGGTCTTCCCTCCTCAGCAGGGTCCCAGCCCCAACTCTTTCTGGCTACCTCCCACCCCTGTGGGCATCTAGAAAGCTCTTCCCACCCACTCCTTAGCCTGGCAAGGCCATCTGTCTGCCTCCACCCACCCCGCAGAGCCTGCTCTCTAAAGTGCAAACCTTTCCTTGCCACTTAAAAATGCATCCTGGTGGAGAAGGGAATATTATTTGGCTGCAAAAAGGAACAGGGTACTGATACACACTCCCACATGGGGGACCTTGGAACCCTTGTGCTCAGTGGAAGAAGCCAGTGCAGAAGTATGATTCCATTTATAGGAAGTAGGTCCAGAAGACACATATCTGAAGGGACAGAAAGTCTATGTGTGCTTGCTTAGGGCAGGGGACCAGGGAGAATGGGAAATGACTACTAATGGGTAACAGGGTTTCTTTAGGGTGACAAAAACATCCTAAAATTGATTGTAGTGGTGCTTGCACAATTCTGTGAATGCATTAAAACCCATTAATTTGTGTACTCTGAACAGGTGAACGGTGCGGTATGCAAGGCTGCTATTTGAAGCACCCACACAGCTCCCCATCATGCAGGGAGCCTGAACTCTTCAGGGGCCCTGGGCCCGTGGCCTGGCAAGCCCATCTCTCCAGCCTTGCTGCCCACCCACCCTGGGGTCCAGTCCTCTACTCCGCTCACATACAGTCTCCGGGCCACCCCCACCTCCAGCCTTTGTCCATCTTGCCCTTACCTCATGGAATGTCCACTCCATTAACAGGCAGTCAGCTCCTCCAGGAAGCCTCCCTCAGCCCCCTGGCAGGGTTTTGGTGCTAATTTCAATCACTTACTTATGAATCTGTCTACCTGGCTGAACTGTAAATGGCAATACAATACCAGATACCTCGGAGGTGATGGTTAGATGAATGAGTATCCAACTCAACCCTTTTCTTTGCATTTGTGGAAACTGAGGTCTGGAGAGGAGCAAACAGATTTTGGCTCCTGGAAGGTAGATATAGAGGCAGACTGTATCTAAGAGGTCCTAAGGCTGTGAGTGACTGTGTGTGAGCTGGGGCCTCGGATCCCCCTAGCTACCTCTCCTGCTAGGCAGGCTCTCTTCCTGCCCACCTCTAGGTCTCAGGCAGAAGCAAGAAGAAAGTAAGAAGCCTGGAGACACAGACCTGGGAAGCTGACCTGACAGGTGTATCAGTTAGCTTGGACAGGTCTCCCCCCTGCTCAGACTCAGTCTCCCCATCTGGAAAAGGGTCAATGAAACCTTCATGGTGAGGTGACAGGTACTTCCAAGTGGGCCCCTGGACCTCACCTTTGCTTCCACAGTCCTGGAGTGATCTGTTGCTCACAAGTCACAGCTGCCCACACTGCTTCAATGCAGTGGTTCTCTCTGCACTCTGAATAAATCACACACCTAGCACTGCCCAAGAGACCCATGAGGTCACCAGCCCAGAGGCTTTCTGCCCATTTCTTGCCACCCCAGTGCCCCTCACTGGGCTCCAGCTTGTGAGCATTCAGGTGGTTTCTCACCTCCAGACCTTTGACCACACTGTAGCCTCTTCTGGAACTTTCTCTGCTTTTCCTATGATGGTTTCTTTTCTTCCTTTAGGCCAGATTAAATGTCACCCTCTCAGAGAGACTGTCCTGGTGAAAGTGACTCCTGCTCTGGCCTGCATCTCAGTCAGTAATTAAATGGGGATCCCTTTGTGCACCAGCCTGGTGTCCTTCTCCCTGCCCTGGCCATCCCTGGAGAAGAGGAGCGCGGTGGGGCTGGTACTATTGGTGCCCAGTTTCTGGCAGAGTGGTGGGA